ATTTCCATTCAAAGTCACCAATCAATTTATGGCTCATAAGCCTACTTGGGGTCTAAAACGCATGTAGCCATAAGCCGTTCAACATCCGTGCGTTTTTTTCTGAGAATTTTAATTATTACTCTTTTTGTTATGAAATTAGAGAATGAAACCAGACTGCAAAATGAATAGAATTTTCTGGGATCTTATTTAAGCGAATTATACCGATATGTTCACACTGTTCATTTTTCAGAATATTTCGGCTTATTTGCCAATGGCGATATCAAACGAGAACCGGTATTCCGAAAATTCAAACTGCCAAAGCTTGCTTTACAGTGGGCATATATATTGTCAATGTTAAAATATATATTTTGTTCGATTAGCATGTACTTCTAGTAATGATTTATTCAGAGAATTCAAGTTATCGCACGTGTTATTATTTTCATACAAATAAATATTCCCTTTTATCTTGTAATACCGTGATTATTGTTTGTGAAAAATAATCAAAACTTCTGGGAATACAACTTTCACGGCTTGTTACGCGATGTTGCGACTGCTTAGAAACTGCAAAGCAAATGTGATACATTTCAACTCTTTCCCAATACGGACATCAACAATATTAGCGAACTGAGTGCAAATCTCAAAGCGAAAACCGAGTTTATAATACATTTGATACACAGCGAATGCCTTTTGTCTCTAAGTATAAGTATATTTTTCTCTAGTCTAGACCCTTCATCCATCTCCACTATCAAACAGTGAATCTTAAAAACAATCCTGCAAGCTGTCTTTTTTTAAATATGAATCCAATCACGTCTTTACTCCGCATGCCTACATAATAGCTTTTGACATTCGGCATAAAGCAGCAGGCTACGAGAAATCTGCCAAAACACACGTTTCCGGTTCTCGTTATTTGCAATAGCTCGAACGCAGAAGTAAGCACGACCCCGTAAAACTTCTGTACGCGTCGTAATTTTTTAATTACGGTTGTATGACATTGACTAAAAATATATCTTTATCGTTAAAATGAGGCTCGTGGATCTTTCATTGATTGTAAAGTTTAGCATTCCTATATGACGCAATACACAAGTCGCCCGTCTGAACTTGAAGCTTGTTTCATGGGTCACCAATGCTATTTTCTTCTGCGTGGAATCTCGCTCCGCTGATTTCTTGGTATGAATGGTAAATAATACACATTCCGCTATTTTAGCTCTTACAATTGGCGTTCGACAAGGGCGAAAAATGGGAGCAAAATAGTAGACTATAATCTAGATAAGAAACAAATGGTATATTTTGCGAGTGTTTAATTCTTAAAATCATTCTCGAATGCGAAGTTGGTCTTTAGCCAAAATAGTTTGAGGTTTTGACGCCGTGTTGTATGGATGTGAATGGGTGCGGTCCAATTCCAACATGATCTCTATCGCACCCTTTTTCTGCTATTGCCCAACCCAAATCTCAATAACAAATACAAAGATATCTGAACTTATAAGGACACAATTGAGATGCCCTTCCGGTCTCAAAACTATCTCTTCGTTAATACAAACCCTGTCATGCCTATATATAATAAATTCGGTCCTTACGTTAATGTACTATCAAACACGGCAGGAGATTAAATCTTGATTGTCCGATCAAAACAATTTGTTTCGTCTTCAGGCTACGGTCTGCAATGCCAGTTAAACCAGATTTACGACTAACAATAAAAGTTTTACCCGAATTACCGAAATTCAATAACTTGATGATTTTGCCTACAGGCGTATAACAACTAAAATGACCCCGAATGTTTATATCTAAACAGAAAATGTTCAAGATAGTTTGTGGAAGCCAGCGACCGACCGACCGGCGGTGGAATAACCATCTTGTGATGAGCTAAACCAGGGGTCGGGAACCCATGGCTCGCGAGCCATATATGGCTCTTTTGGTGACGGCATATGGCTCCCAGAAAAATCTATTATTCTAAGATTAAGCTTACTATTGTTACTAGACTTCAAACTATTTTATGGCCAAATTTGGCAAAAAATTCGCAATGCGTTTGACAACGCGGGCCCATCGCATGTCTATGTTATGTAAGAGAATTACCAGACAGGCATTGTGACAAAACATGGGGATTCTGGAACATGTATTGTGACATCACAAAGCGATAGAGTTTTAAAATACTACGGAGATGCCTAAACGAAAAAGGGTGATGAGTATCGTATATTTCGACTTGGGCTGCATGTGAGCAACCGTTCAAGGCCCGCAGCGACAACATGCAGCATCAGAAGTCACATTAAATGTATATTGACATAGAATGTGTTGACTTTTGAGTAAACGTTTCAGGCCTGATTAAGTGAAGAAATGTTATATGGCTCGCACGGAAATGCAATTGAAAATATGTATATTTTAGGACTCTCTTGACCAAAAAGGTTCCCGACCCCTGAGCTAAACTATCCGTATTTTTACGCACACAATTCTTCATCAACATCCTATTCCGAGAGACTGTTGAGCGCAGGATAGCGTTAGACGAGTCAGTCGTCCAGTGTTCGTAAAACCGGAATGCGTGAATGTAAAATAAAAGATAATGAATTTTGTTCATCTCACCTATGTTTAAATTAAAATATATCCAGCAGGACATCCAAATTTGTTGAAAGAGTTTCATTCCTAAAACTAGTGGAATTGGAATTCACTAAATAAACCCTTCCACCGAGACAACAAGTTACAACAGGTATTTTCATCAGTGATTCGGTCAGTTTTAATCATAGTGATTGAGATCACCAAGAACATTTCCACAAATAAAAACAAAACAAATTTAATCCATGAAATCAAATAAACTGCAATAGTAATGTACATCATGACAGTCAAATCGCAAAAAAAAACTGTTAAAAAAACCTGGCCAACTTCATACAATGAATATAGTTGAGGGCCAATTTAAAACCCTGTCTTAACATGTACGTGCCATAAGTAGAACATAACTAAAATGTTTGTTTAACTACGGCACATACTTAACAAGTTATAACACTTGGTTGGTTTATACATATTCAAAACACACAAGTGTGGTGGCAATATTTTCGTATTATCGTGGTTAATTATCAGAAACAAAAAATGTACAAAATTTTTCAATAATAATATTGAAGATAATAAAAATTCTTCGAGTATGGTAAAATATAGACCACTATCTTGATTTTAATTTAGCTATTTGTCTAAAAAGGCCACTCGCGTAACATATATATATACACAGAGGCGCTGCAGAATATATAGCTAATAAGCAATATCAAGAATAAAAAAAATTTAAAATTCATCAAGAAAAAGCTTGTGAAGTGACTTCATCCTTAGGTCCATGATTCTCAATCTGATGGTCGCAAAATTTTTGAAGTATTTTTCTCAAGTTTTAAGAGGAATATAACTAAACAAAATGCCAGAATTGAATTTATCATTATCAAGTTTATCGTACTTCTTGTCTGCTGTGGTTACATTACATAACTTCTGTTGAAATCCACGGGATTCGAGATTTTGAAAATAAAAAGCTGAGAAACATGAAGTTGTTCTTTTGTTAAATATATATCAATATCATATAATCTAAATTATAAATAAACCCCAAGAAACACAGAATACTGAGAAAATTAACAATTGAAATATTTTTAGTCACATCATGTGTAGAATAAGTTCTAACAGAATATGCTACCATTCAAAAACACAATGAATAATCTGCAAACATGAATTTGAAAGAAAAAAAAATGAAATCAGCATTATTCCACTGCCTATAAATCAAATTGGTGAATAAAAATTAACAAATTTGACTCTTCTGTCATGATTTGCATTCATTATTGAAGCCCCAAAAAAATTTGATTCCAAATTTCCTTTAACATCTGGACAACTCAACAATTTGTTTTAAACTTAAACACCATAATTTGTTATACGTAAAAAATAGATACAATTTAAATGAGGTCGGAGATTAGAATACGACAACCAAAACAATTGCAATTTACAGCAATCAAAAAATTTCCTTGATTACAATTATACCAGAGCATTTCCGCTCAATTTCTTTTCTCCGAAGGAAATTCCATTTTCGATTTAATTCAACCTGTCAAAGTATTCACAGAATATATTCAGGTGTGATATTTTAATCACGAAAAGTGTAATCGTCATAATAAGTGCTTCAATTTTGTACAAATAAAACAATAATAACAAATGAATTAAAACAGCAGATGTACTGAGTGAGCAAAATTATGCTAGTCTTCAAAATACCATATTACTCAGCTTCAAAAGATAGCCAAAATTGGATAAATTCCAAATAAATATTATTAAATCTGGAATATAGCAGATATGTTCTCAATTTAGTCTTTTTTGAGAGGAAAAATTTGCTGGATTGAGAAAATTATGCCTATAAAAAAAATGTTTTGGCAAATTTTACAATTCCAAATGAATGGGGTGAACCCAAATGATAGTCGGAACAATGGATATTTTGTCTTCTTGAAAAGCATTATTCTATATTATTTTCAGAAGAATAAAATTTACTATTTTTAATACAATATACCAAATTTTCAGAAGAATATTTGAATATTGCATTTTGGACCACTATTCTGTGATATTTTTAAAACAAGATAACTATTTTTCAAAATATTTGAATATAGCATTCGTCCAGACCAGAGGTTCCCAAACCAGGGGTCGCGACCCCAAATTGGGTCGGAGTGATAAGTAGGTAGGGTTGCAAACAGGTCATGGGGTCGGTGAGTTATGGTAGAGATGGATGTACAAAACATCTAAGATTTGACAAACCATGTTAAATTTAGCAGTTTGTACCATGGCTTACTGTAAAACAGGCCCATAGGCATCGCTCTATGCTTATGCTATAGAAAATGTAGGTGAATATTGTGACATCACTGTTTGGTTTTAGCTTATTTTACTTAAAACCACCACATGACCAATCTCAAAAGTCCAGTGAAAGAAGCTCTAATGTTCCATGAAAAATATATATATTGACCTGGGGTCGCACTGGACACTTGAAAGTTGTCCTTGGGGTCGTCCTGAAAAAAGCTTGGGAACCCCTGGTCCAGACGTTCCATCTGAGGAGACTTATGGTTTTTTAACACTTTTGAAGTGTGTTCATGGATTAACAAGAGTGTTGTACTCATATTTTGAATGTTTAAGTTGTTATGTTGGAAAACATCAATATGAAGAAGAGTGGAAGAAATGAGAGTGAGAAAGTACAATATTCTGTTATCGTGAGATTGAGGATCCGGCACTGGATTGAGTGGCGAGAGAGAGAGAAGAGAATGCACTCTGACATGATTCGAGACTTGACATCGAACCCCTGAAAAAGTGAGAATATTGTTGTTACAAACTATTTATTATTTTCCCTCAAAGAATTAGCTTAAATTAAAGTTAACAAAATAGCATTTACAATTTCAAACAATTATCTTGAGGGGAAAAAGCTGATCACTCATGATGAGTAAGGAAAGAGTAAGCTATGGCTTTTCTATCGGTAGCTATTCAGGTCAGCCAGTTAACATTTCCTCTTACCACATTTATATATTTCACAATTAGTGTATCCATCCACAGGTAATGACAGCTTTGTTACTCACACTTATACACTGTTCGATGGTTAGGTTTTTGACAATCAATGAGAATCATAAATTTTTGTATACAATGCAAATTAACTACAAATATGGCTGGCAAACTGTGCACATCTTCCACAACCGAAACCCTATATTATTATGTATGTCAAAAATACAGCTGACTTACTTGAAATCTTCAGAATCGAGTACCTCATGATAATATAAAACTTTGGCTTTAGGAGTGTGAGTAACCTGATATAAGACATCAGTTACAACTGGCAGTGTTGATGTAGGATTGGATGGAGCAGTATGAAGCTTCCATTGCAATATATAGAAACCTGGTGCTCTGGCAATATGAGATCCCTGGAAAAAAATTATATATGTAAAAGACAATCTGACCCTTTGGTAACTTTGAGTTTGGTTGCGCGAGACTAACTCCCCATCCTTTCTCTATGCTCTTATGCCAGTGTATGCCTAATACTGCAAGAATGCTGTGGCAGGAAAAAACATGACTATTCTATCCGATTAAAGAGTTCTGCTGCACACTAACACAAATGTATTTCTGTAATGTTTCGTCCGACCAAAGTCAGACTTCCTCAGACAAGCAGTTTACAACAATGGCAAGAAATGAACAATCTTGCAGTTTAAATATGACGATAAATAAACTTGTTTGAAATTGAAATCTCAAATCAATTATGATGAAACAATGAATAAACATTAAATTTATATTTAGCCTTCAAAATAATGATTGGAAAATTAGAACCATAGATATCATTCGAGCTCATCTCAGATGTGATAGGAAAAATTATAACATTCATGAAAATAATGGGTAACTAAAGGTAATTAAAATTAAGATTATGGGCACTTGAAGAACAATAAGGAATAAAATGTATTGCCTTCTAACGAAATGCGTTTCTGTAATACAATTACGCTTCAGAATAAAAAATGCATAACTATATTTTCTTCTGAACCAAGTACATTAAAAACAAGATTTCTGTTTTTGTTGGATGAATAAAATTTGTTACAAATTTTTTAATTCATTTATACAACAAATATATTTTGACTCCTTGCGTGGCCCTATGAAGTTAGCGCAACAGGGAACTGGGATTGCAATATTTCTGTGACAGAAAGTTGAAGGTAAAAATACCTGTATGCTTTCTCCTTCCCTGAACACAGGAGATTGTTCAACAAGACTGTAATCTCTTCCTAGTGTCATGTTTTTGCTGATGATCTGAAAAAGCAAATAAAATACGTTAATATTCAAGTTTTTTTTTAATGGAATATACACAGAAAATGAAGGCACAGCTGATTGATCAGTTTGGTTTCGGTTTGGCAGTCAAGTTGATTTCGAATTTAGAAATAAGATGGTCACGCAAGCTTTGTATTATGTGATAAGATTCCAACAGAGAGCTCATCATTTCTACAAAAACAGAACCCAGCTCCAAATAAGCTGAGGCAAAACAGCCACACCTAAACAGATGAGCCCAAACGTACCCCACCATAAAAATATAAAAACCAGAAGTTATTACCTGAGTACTTATCGCTCCATTGTTTGACAAATTACCAGCAAGAATAGATTGGGTCTCTCCTTCAATTATAGGACCTGTATAACAATAGGGTTCGATGGTTATGTACAGTACTAATTTTTAGGTTGGCAAAAGGAGGACTAAAAGTGAAATCTGATCATGTGATAACTAACTTGCATGTGACATGTAATAATTTCCAATAATGGAAAATATTGATATTGATCTACCAAAACGCATTTAAAGCAATTATCATACTTTTTATTTAAGAGAAGTAGCTCAAGGCAAGGTGACACATTCCCGCTTAAAAGTTACAGGTAAACAATGAAATGCTACTAAGTACATAGATATATTGTGATTTGTGGTACATTCAAAGTCAAAGTAATACAAAAATAAGAACTACGATACATGACAACGAATTCCACATGAACGAAAATTATTGGATAAAACTATTGGTATATTAAATTCTCGTCCAGACTTTACAGTAAACAGATTAAGGATCACAACCAACTGAGTATTGTAATTAAAACTTTCTTGGAAGGAATACTTCCGAGGTTTAATCTTTAGCCTAATTGTTATTCTTACCCAAACGCTTCTTGCTGTGGTAGAGAGAGAAAACAACATCACATTTCATGATGTCAAAATCCCAAGTGATGACACAGTCTTTAGTCGGAACTTCTAACATGACCTGTTGTAAATAAAATGGAAGGTGATATAGAACTAGATCCATACCATTCTATGGAAATGCTTTAGTCTGAAGTTTTAGTTATTTAATTACATCTGTCATATTAAATCAATAACGACAACGATCATTCAAAAGCTTATTAAATTTGAATTTCTGAAACCAATTTTGGACATTCCATACAATAATATAGACAAACCTCATGAGGAGAACCTTTCATACAACTTCCAGTTTTATAGATAGATTCTTCCCATAACTGCATTCCATCACCTTTCTCCCATTCAGCTCTGTACAATGATTTGGGAACCGGCCCACCTTCTGACATATTGCACTGAAACAGATAATAAAGAAAATAAATAAAATAACAGACTGTCATAAAACAGATTATTCTAAACTATATACTAATGCTGTAGTTGACTATATCCTATTGATTTTTATGGCATGTATAGAAAAAAAAATAGTGGAATCGATCCTAATTGACATTAGAAATAGGAAAATTACGACAGTGAATCTTTGAATAACTTTTGACAGCAATGGGAAGGTATGAGAAATAATCACACAATGCAGCAGTTAGTATCATTTTACCTCGCAAGGTCCACCAAGGAAATCTGGGATGAATTCTTTAGGCACATAATCAACCAAGCCACCAGGACCAAGATAATCTGTACCACTGTACATCATGAACTTAGATCTTGTCTTTTCATCTGTAAAAAAAGTTTCATCTTCATGTAATCATGTATATGATAATGTATAATAATGCAAGAATTTACACTCGGTGGAAGAGAACTATAACTGTATCTATTCTACTAACCAAATTGTAATAAATACGGGTCGTGGGAAAAGTTACATCTCTGGACTCCACAGATTAAATGAAATTTCAACTCAACCCCCCAAAACTGAAAAAGCCTGATTCTGATGACAAAAAATTTGGCACATGCAAGTTTCTTCAATTATTTGTTGCTTCGCCAATTTATTAATGTTTTTTCAGTTAACATCAAAACTTTCCACTTTAATACTAAACTAATTTAGTAGTGTGAGAATAGGACAAATTTAAAATTTTTATTAAGTTAATGTTTTAATTAATAACAATAAGAAAGCAAATTATAATAATCTATTAGGATGGACTTAAAAACTGACCAAACTATGAAAAATATAAAATTTGAAATATAGCCTAGGAAAAACGACTAGGTCTGGGCTATTTGAAACTTTCTCCGGCTCCAACTCCTGTTTGGCAAAGATTTTGACTACAATAATACCAATACAATATTTTATTAGAATCAGCCTAAAAATTGACAAAATACCGTATAAGAAGTGAAAAACAGCCTAAAATTCCAATATAGTTTATATCATACCAATGAAAGGACTGATTAGTGTCCAAATGACTGGAAAAACTCTCGGTGCTCTGACAATGAGTAAACGAGCCATAGTTTCAGGATAATTGTTCTCAATTACTTCAATGATCCTGAGCAGTGCCTGCACTGCCGGACGCCATAAATGACGCATGTTAAGTCCTTCCAAGTCAACAATGCAACTCCAAGAACTGTTTGAAATATAAGATTCATTATTATACAAGAAATATTCAAAATTATGTTTTGGCAATATATGAAGTTGTGAATCATTCAAAATAAAAGACGTAAAAGATTTATGAATCAGGCAGATGACAATAATATGATCATAATGTCTTATTTGTAACATTTTTTTTTTATTAAGCTGACGCGTTCAAAAAACTTTGGTTTAACAAATTCAAAGACATAAATAGTGAAGTCATATGCAAAGTCATATGCATATGTATAATAAAGTGCCAATCTACTTTTTTATTTATTTGCATGGTATGTAACACAATAGTGGATCATCAAATTAATTTGAAATATGGAAATTTACTTCCTAATAGAAACATTTTATAAATTTAGAATAATTCTAAATTAATAAAAATAATAGTCACAAAAATGGTGACCAAAAAAAACAGAGCCCAGGTCTTTGGGAACATACTCCAGAGAGAACATAACTTTTGTGCAAAGATTAATGAAAACTTTTAGTTACAATCATACACAAACAGAAGTTGAAGTGTTAATAATTTTTATTTTCACACTAATTGATGGGCTCTGTTTCTTGATTCAGCCTGTATTACACAAAAAAAATCGACAGTCAAGTATTGTATACTATATTATTTTCTCTGAAAAACAAATTTCTCTATCATGTTATTGAAGCATGCAATGAGATCCATGCAAGTTTAAACTATTGCTTATTATATACCAGATATAGCACACTACCAAGCATCTCCCTTGAGAGACGTTTCACAAATTATACAACCCAGACTGTTCACTTCCAATAAACCATAGCAATATCATTATTAGTTTATAATGGAAAATATAATTTAATTCAATCACTATGTCGCTAAATGGGACCAATTTCAAGTTTATCAAATTATGTTTTATCAATGTATTGAGCTGCAGAGATCCATTACACTGAGTGTGAATTGAGGCGCAGATGGACTGTTATTTCCTTTTACAATTCATAATGCTTGAATTCTCATAAATACTATTAAAAAAAAAGCGAAGTAAACTACAACTAATACACCATATTAAAATATAGATAAGTCTAGAAGGAAATTATAGAACAAGTAAGATTTCTAATAGAATACACCCTAAAAAGCTCTACAAAGTGGATACAACTGAAAAACTAAATAATTTGTGAAACTAGAAAAATATAAAAACATGCCATAATGTATTACTGTAGTGGGGTGATCATAACTTACAAGCTCGGCACAGTCACTACTGTAAGAAGGCGTTCATGCAGAAGTGATATGTTTTTTAAATAGTTGTACAAGTTCATCCAATCAGAAATTTGCCGAAGGAATGGCAAAATCTAATAATCTACTATTCCTATTCCAAGTACATTCAATAATGATTTCGCTAAATATTCTCGATTGTGGAAAATGAGACAATATTGGTTCATGTTATGTGGTGTATATTGATGTATAGGCTATTCAATTGGGTCTAAATATAAAAAAAAAATTTCGTTTTTTTTTTTTTAGTTTTTAGAAATTGGATGAAAGGCAATTCTGTTCATAGCCTACTACATGACTTTGATTGACAATTTTTGACAATTTACTATGACAATTTTTAAATAGAACTATTATGAAGCCAACGAATTTAAGATATCAAAAAAAAAAATTTCAAATTGATTCAAATTCAAATTCTTTCAGAACATCTTGAATTAGACATTGCCTATTATGGTCCAGGGATAAACCAGCACACCTGAGTGTAAAAAAGGTAAGTAAAATAAAAATAAAATTCACTTCAAAAATTCACCCCCACAGTAACACCAATCTTTAAAAAACACAAACTTGAAGTAAATGTATACTAGTTTTGTAACAGTACAATACATAACCAACTTAAATAATAATTAGAAATTTTTAGAACTTTCAAATCAATCTTTATATTTCTGCGAAAAAGACAGCGATGCTCAAATATATTGAGAATTTCATAAAGTCGTGGTTGTAAAATATGGAAAAAGCACAAAATTTGAGGTCTATTTTTAGTGACCATGGATGGGGCAGAGAAAAGATTTGAAGAGGAATAAAGTGATAGTCTTCCAGCAACTTTTTCCATCTTTAAAGAATAAAAATTCAAACGTGATTGTGCCAATAATTTTGGAGAAAGACGATTATTAACCACAAGTCACGACAACAATTTTGCAAAATGATTCCAGGGACAATTTATGTCCAAAAATGCAGATAAGGGCTGGTTTGAGGTGTGGAAATTTCATTATGGTAAAAAAACTTTGCTCTGGGCAATGTTGCCATGAGTTACAAAACTTAGACTAGCTAAAACCTAGACTACAAAACTAGCTGTTATCTCATATCAATCTATAGCCATATTTGATAGAGTATTAAGTTTTGTAAATTCTAAAATCGAAATGCATGCATTACAAAAACAAATAATGAATAGACAAGAAGAAATTTATGTCCGGCTGACTTTGAAAGTGCGGTGAAATGTGAATTTTGTTTGACTGAACAAGCTTTTAATTCAGTATGCAACTGAAATTTTAAAGCAAAATTGCTATTACTTACAATCAGCTTTTCCATTGTATTGAAAGTAAAGGCAAAACTCAGCATGATACACTTAATGGTCAAGCTGCAGGAAATATTAATCATAATGATCAGAGCCCTTTGTGTATCTCAGACAAAAAGCTTTTAGTCATTAAACTTTTCATGACCAATCAAGCATGTGTTATACATAACATAACATTTATTGTTGGTATATACTTGGCTGAGTATATCATTACCATGCACAAGGCTGATCAAGGATAAAAAGAAAATAATATGATAACTAGATTTGACAACTGAGGCAGAACAGGAATGATGTCATACTTGGTGAAATCATCAGTTGTTAGTGGTACATGCATGTTTCTGCGCAACGAAAACTTTCCATGATACAAAACAAACAAGGCTGCTAACTGTAATTTTGTAATAACTAAAACAGGAATAGCGGAAACCGAATAATTTCGTTTCAGAATACATTCTGAAATATCATTTTTGAATATAGAATAATTCTAAATTTCGTAATAATTAACTGAGGAATTTAAACAAATTGTTGCAAATTCATAGAAATGAATTGGTAAATGTAGAATATTTGAGGAAGACATTCTTTTGATTGTCAAACCCCCAAACGGATGTCTAATGTATAAAATATCAAACTTTGAATGAAACTATTTATATTTTTCCTAAATTTGAGAATTTATGAATAAATAAACATTATTATTTTTTAATCGATTCAACTATCCTATCCTAACAAATTGATCATAAAACAGGTCAAAATAATACTTTTTTTTTAATGGTAATTGATCTAGGATTTGGGATTTGCCAAAATGGTATCCAAACTTTTTTAGAACAACTTATAAATGGGGGACTTATAGTATTCACCATTTCGCGGATGCAACAAAATTCAACACCATAAGCAAAAAAAAATGTTTTGACTAATCGATAGTTAACAGCCCTGTTTTTCAAAACATGATGCACATGATGCTATGATATACAATGCATTCCAGACTAAAAAAAAAAGATGGAAACCAAACGAGACATTCGACACCGTTAGCAAATTCACCTGATATTACATGTACTTGACCTTCTCAGAGAATGAGTCCTGCTGTTTAAAATTGTGCGTTATTTTTAAATTGGAGTAAAAATTGTTCTGCTACGCAAGTAGCCCAGCTGCCAAGCTTTACATGAGAGCACTCATAATTATAAGCATACATTTATTAGAAGACATCCACAAACAACCAGAAAAAATAAAATTTGAAAAATAATTAATAAGGTTAAATAATTCTGTACAATGTTTTGTTTAATTTACTGATTAGAAAATATCAGTTTAACTTTAAATACCATTATGAATTACTAAAAATCTTGGCCATCCAATGCTAAAAATAAGCTTAGTGCCATTACAAGGTATAATGAACATTCATCAGCAGCCATTATCAACGATTATTTCAGCAGTAAATAAAAATATTAATATTTTTTACATTTGAAAAGTCTACGATGCAAAATTTAAACAATATATACTTGTTGTCATCTTACATACAGCTTTATAAACATTATAGTCAGTATTTAGCAGCCTGCATAAATAACAAGAAAGCTATTTGCTATAAAGTTGGATCGAATGTCCAAACAAAATAAATAATATAAAGGCAGGCATTTACCTCATTGGTTTGTTGAGAGTATCAGAAGCCTCTTGACACTTCTGAAGACCTTGTTCCATTATGTAGAGAACCTAAAATAAAGGAAGGATAGCTAATATAACAATATCCGTTACCGTAGCGTATATCAGGATGTCATAATAAATTTCGAACCGATTCAAAATTGGTTACATTCAATATACTGTGTTTAGTGTTTCCCCGAAAACAAGACCTAGCATGAAAATAAGACCTAGCCTGAATTTTAAAAATAGGACCTAGCCAATAGCGTGGAATTTTTTTGACTTATTATTTATGAATCTAGTGATTTGCAAGACATTACAGAGGATGATGATATGGTCATAATCTAGGTTTAGTATAATTTTAAAATAAAAACTTTTTTGTATATTTGAATATATCTCAATTCTCAACTTTTGTAATTTTGTATTTGATAAATGAAAATAAAAGACATCGCTTCCGAAATAGGCCCTTGAGGACTTTTTCGAAAGAAAATTGAAATAAGACCATCTTATTTTCAAGGAAACACCGTAGTAAATTCTGCATTCAGTGAATAATTCAGAATAGCTATAAATTTGTTATTTTGAACATTCAACATCTCATGGTCAGACAAAAAATAGGCTACGGTACATTTATCTTTTGAAAACAGTAGAAAATGGAAAGCCATTTGAATCACAGCTTATATTAACTTTCCTACATTTTCAAATACCAACTCATTGAATATACATGGACTTCTATGTTTTTTTTTTGTTGAACATAACTCCATATTTGAAATATTAATTTCAAATGTATTTGGATTATGGGAATTATTCAGTTTTAGTCATCTCTGCTTATTACTCAAATTAGATTAACTAACCTGTTTTAGAATTTGATCTTGTCCAAGTGCTTTCAAAAGTCCTTTTGTATCCATTTGTCCGATACGCAGTATATATAAGGGCCTTCCCTCTAAAGAATGTAAAAAAAAACACATCAAAAAATTTGCATATCCAATGTTACTGTATAAAGCATCAAGTTTATGTTAGTAAAGCTATTTATGTATGGATAAGGTAAAATCAGTATACAAACCGTTGTCATGGTGATGCCAGCATCCACAATAATAATCTTTGAATATACTTGGTGGATTCCAGGTTTCTAACAATCTGTCAACCTAAAATAGGATGAAATAGAATTTGAATATAGAAAACTTTAAATTATTTTCCATGAAATACTTTAGACATTGGCACAAAATTTTGATATTGGTGTTACTTGCTAGGCTGTGGGTTCGGAAGTTTGGCATGCTTTCATTGGTATGGACCTTTCCCTGACCTTTGACTCCCGAAAAATTCTTCCTATACTTACTTTGCATTGCAAAATTTTCTGGGCTATTTTAAGAGTGCTTTTGCGATTTGCCTGTAAAATGGGCTATGTGTTTCAAACCATAATTTGATTCATTGCATAAAACAATCTGTTTTTTAAAAGTACCGGTAAAGAATTTTAGCCTAGTCTATCGCCTAGTTTCCGAAACACAACTGAAAACTAACGAATAGAGTTCAAAAACGCGAAAACGAGGTAATGTTTACAACCAAGCTTGAAAATCTGTCTGAGTGAGGAAAGTGTCTGAGCGGATGCGAAAGGGGATCATTGTTACGTCACATTTTGCATTATGCTGATTAGCCAATGTCACGAATTAAACAAGGAAGTCGATGCTCGGGGAAAGGTCCATTAGAGTCAGAGCTGTAGTCGTATTTTATGATAGTCGAGAATTGGGACGAGAGCAATGTTAAAATTTGGAATTCCCCGAAGTCTGAGGCGAAATTCAGGTCTGTTATGGTGATATTCAAATTCGAAATATCAGACAGACACTCTCAATAAGCAGTAAGTTAACTGAGCATTTCTAATAGAAAATTCAAGAAGGCTTAGTTACAATGATAGTAGAATTTAAAAAATTAAAATTTATTGAGTAACTTTATTATACATTAAAAATATTGATTTGATTCATTTCTGACAATCCTAGTTATATTTTTCGTTGCTCATCATATACTGTACGATGAAATATTTACCTGGTGTAACTTCCTCCAAGATAAACACTGGCATAAAAGTTCTCTTGCTTTCTCCATGTGAAAATCTCGCGCTCGTAGAAATCGTAGAATATGTTCGTCTCGAGGAAGCTGTAATATAATGTAAAAATATAATGCAAGTTCTCAATATAGAATTTATTTGTAATGCATAATAACCTTATACATAATACACATTACGAGAATTCTGAATATGACCATTTCACGTCATACAAGTTGGTTAATTGAATTTGTGTTTTTAATCGGTTATTCGACACAAAGTAGCGATGTGGAACAATTTTGCTAAATCATTGTCTTGTGGTTGTTGTTAGGTCAACCTATTGTATTGACACAAAAAAAACATGAAACACAGTAAAGCAAGTGTAACACACATTAAATCATTTTGAGTCATGTACAGGATGACAAAAAGAAAGGAACCCAAGCCATTTGCAATCAATTTTAGTGAGAACATAACTTTTGTGCAAAGCGCCCTAGATCACCCAAACTTTTGGGAACAATCACAAACCAACAGAAATCCAATCCAAGTGTTCAAGTGTTAAATAAACTTTGTTCATATTCATAGAAGTAATGAAGATATTTAGAAGTTTTTTATTCGAGTTACTCTATTGAACACTATAAACTTGTTTATTATACTGTTAGAATAAAACATATTGCTAAATACTTTTTCACAATGTCATAGGATGTTATCCAAAAAAGAAAGAAAAAACAATATCGCACCCTACATTGAACACCAAACTTTTATCTAGTTCTGAATTATTTAAAAAAATTCAATTATGCTAGATTCAAAGCATACAATCAAATTGTTTTTGTGTCAATATTTCTCTGAAGCTATATCACCCTGTGAAAGCTAAACAATGTAAATTCACACAGGAAGAGGATATGAGTTAATAACATCTGTAACATGAAAAATAAAAGGTGGAGTGATGTAGCCTAATCAATAATGTAAACAAACATGTTCCCATATTGATGATGTTGAACATTTATAAAAATGGTTAATAAAAGACAAGAATATCCAAACACAATTCTAAGTTTTTTACCATTATACGATATTTTTTTAGCGAAAAAGAAATTATACTTTCTATTCCTAAGATATAAAATGAAAATATTGAATAACATTAGCTTTAAATCATTTTCGAGAGTCAATTCATTTTAGATATCCCTGGCGAAAAATCAGAATTGTATGAAATAATTCATTATTTTTGATCTATTAATAACCAGAGAATATATGAAAGAACTTTGCATGTAAATTCCTAAAGTCATTAAAAATTTTGGTTTACTATTATTACTTAAGCTCTTTTGATGTATAGACAATTTCCATTAACAAAGCATGAGCTGACAAGAAATAGACGTGTGCAAGATACATTGTTGACATATTGCATTTACGACCATCCCTATGGGCCTATCATTATTCTCAAATATATAATACCTATTATCAACGACAAAGCTAACGAACATTACAGCATTATCAAACATGAAAAGTAAATAAAATTAATTTGCTGTAGGCTGTATAATAATATACCTATAATAGACCAAGTATGGCACACAAAAAAATTGCTCAATTTATAGACGGCCCATATAAGATTTATACTTATAACAAACAAAAAATAAAAACACCTGAAATAATTCACAATCTTTTTTGAACTTTGTACTATGCTATAAGTGTTATGTAACAATTCTAAATTAACAGGGATTTCACCGACTGGCAGTCCAGGTGAAATTATAGCAACAACATAAATATGTACTGGTTGACGCAAAAGAAACAGAACGCAGGTCATTCGGAACATATTCTAGAGAGAGAGCATAATTTTTGTGCAAAGCGTCCCAGATTACTTAAACTTTTAGATCCAATCATACACAGACAAACGTTCAAATGTTAAATAAATTTTCTTCACTTTTCAAAGAAGTAATTACAAAATTTACAGGTCATGTTTTTTACCACCCCATATCCATTTGTTTCTCATTTTCTCAGATGTTAACTGACTTAAAATAGCTAATAATCATGACAAAAAACTTATAAAAATATTTTTATTAATATATTAGGTTATCTTTATTTATCTAAAGTATTCGAACTGAAATGTATTTAGAATCGATTCTATTGAAGGTGTAATCTAGCTCATTTTTTCTCTAAGGCAATGTTTTCAACCAAGATTCCAACACATTCTAGGGGTCCCCCAGTACATTCCAGGGGTTCTGCAGGTTTCCTTTTAAATATGAGCGTCTACAATAATATATGTATGCTGTCTAAATATAATCAAACTCTTTATAGATCACTTTGTTTTGTGAGTATTTGGGTACACTCCACCATTATGAAGTTTTGAGAGCTTAGTGCTATCAAGGTTAGAGAGGTTCATATAAAAATATTGATTGATGTATAAACTGGTCGAATAATTAAAAAACAGTGACACTTCATTATGATGTCAATCATTGTATAGATCGAATCATACATAAAACTGTTGATTATTTATTGATCTGATGTTGATATAATTCAGGAAACAGTATTTTTAAATTGGGAACAGAAAAAGTCAACATAGTATTGAAGAATAATAAGTATATCTGCATAAACAAGTTTATTATGTTAAAAATTGCAAATTATACCATAAAGATGGAATTCGTATTATCATAAGTGGCTGTGATGACACTAACTGGATATTTGACAGAGTAAAATCTCAAAATTGTAAAAAAAAATTGTTCAATTTGGATGATTCAATCTGATTCGTATTGATAAAATTTGTCCATAATTACCATTCATATAAATTTTCGATTAGGAGAAAAATTCTGAAAAAAAAATTTGCACGATGTCAATTTGTAAAAAATGGGCTTAATTATAAAACAACTAACAAATTTGTTTTTCATAGTACATTTTCCGAATAACTTGAAATGCAAGTTAAATGTCACCATAATTTTCGACATCTCTTAATAAGAGAACAATCTCTCCACAATCCACAAGTCCATATTCGAATGGCATTTGTTAAAAATCTCAAAATAATATTTTCAGAGTTTAATTTATATAAAATAATAGGGCAACTGTAAAACAAAACCATGGAAACATCGTTACTAACAGCTGAAATGAGAAAATCGTACCACAAAACATTATTTTAATAACTCAGAATGTCTGCAATCGATTCAACTTTCAGTTGTGTGACCTACGGTATATCATTACTGACATATGTAGAACGAAAATAGACATAATATGACTTGTATGACCTGCGTCACACTATAACTTTTACACATATTATAATCATCTTTACTCGCCATGTATCATTCAACAAGCAGTATGCACTATTTGTGAACTTAAGGTTTGTCATTATGGCATACGTATTTATATTGTCATAAGGTTATAATGAGGAACTAATTTGTATTCCAAATATATATGTTATTGTCAAAATTTTGAAACAAAAAGATCGGGTAGCATAGCTGAAATTGAATTTTGTAATAAGTTACAAACAAAATATTACACATCAAAGGTATCAAGACAAAATAGCGAATGGAAAAAATTGAAAAAAATTCTTTTACAAGATGGATTTCAGATCAAGGTTTGAAGCAAATTTATTCACTAATATATTTGAATAAAAAGTCAGAGAAATTTGAATATTAAAAATACATGTCTTTCTCTTTTCACAATTTTTTTTATTTTTCCAAGTTTCAACGTTTTGGGTTGAAGCACTTGAAATATAATTCAAATAATGTTTCTATACTTCATATGTAATTTATATAATATAAATTTCGGGCCTACTAGACAAAAAATAATGAACAATTTCTGAGTTAACTCATTAAATTGATGCAATTCACCACAGTATATGATTTCTACTTTATTAAACATTTCAACTTTAAAAAAAAACTTCAAATCTCCAAAATGGAAATATGTCAATTTAAATAAAACTCAAATACACAAAATTGTCATTTTCAGAGATCCCGTATTTTGAAAATAGTTTGAAGCAAATCAGTCAAAAACCTAAATTTAGCTATAGATTGTGTCATGCTACTCACATGTCATCAAAACCATATGATTAACAAAATGATGCATCGACATCAAAGCAACGCAAAACACAAAGAAAATAGCGTATGATCAATTATTTAGTCATTTCAACATAGATACTTGTTTGTATTGTAATATTTGATGTCAATGATTACTACCGGTACGTTGTGTATTATATAATCTTAAATTCTTCGACATAGTTGTTAACAACTTTATGAAGAAAATGACCATTTTAGGGGTCATAAACTTTTGAAAATTGTGATGACTCCATGGACGGAAAGGCTACAATTTACGTAAAAAACTGATTTTCAATTCCCATTAAAAATGAATGCTGTTTCATTAAAGATACTACTTTTTTATTTATATTATATACGTGTGCGCAATTACATTTTTTTTATGAAAATTTAATTCACAAAACTGCACTTTAAACCAGGAAGTAGGAAACAAAGTTCATGGTGAAACTTACTGGTATCTAAACCTCATGTATAATAAATGTGTTGTATTGTATTTTAATTTTTATTTTAATTTCTCATTCTAATGTATGCAAATATGATTTTGTGAATGTGTATTGTTTCATCATTTCCATTATTCAAATAATGCTGCTGAAAAAAATGAAAAAATGATAAGCTAATGAAACTCTAAGTGTATAATAAATTTATTGTAGGGTGATCAATTTAAACATTAGATATGTCAAAATAACGTGTTTTTTTAGAACTCCAATATTGATGGTTTTCAAAAAAAGTGCATTTTCAGGATTCGAATATTCAAAATTGTGTTTATTTCCCCGAAAACATTATATTTTTGGTGCAAAATTATGTTTTACATTCTATTTTACACAGTAAAATACTCATGATTTTAATACTTCAACAGATTTATTTGAAATATTGGAAAATCAAAATTGATCCCAAGATAGAAAAATGAAATTTCTGGAAGTTGTTCATTTATTTAACTTAATTTATGTAATTTTATTATTAAATGATAGAGGTGAAAACAGCCTTTATACAAGACTTTTGTAAGATGATTTTAACTGAAAAGATTGCTCCATTTCCAAGAATTGTTTACCTGACTAAAACCGTCCAACATGACGTGACTGACGTCAAGCGTACGTATGAAGCGCTCACAGCTCATTAACAGTAATATTATATGAAGTTTACACAGGTAAAGAAAAGACTGCTGTCTTATATACTGATCATACATGGGTATGTACATTGTAAATAGTAAAATAAATTGAACAGAGTGTGAATTGAGCATATTCAAACCAAGTTTGGGAAATGCATGATCGATGAAAGTAGTTTTCATAACGGAACAATACCACAGAAGTGCAATACAACATTTTTTATCGACAGAAATGTGTTATGTATTTGATAAACTTTCTCATTATTGAGTACTAAATTTCTTAAGCCTTTAAGATGTTAATATCAATAATTGACGACGGTGTTCCCATATATCATAAAAAGTGTTCCCATAAATCAAAAAAAGAAAGTAAACTTCAGAGTGTAATATAGGGCGATATAAGAATTTCAGGAGATTTGAAAATTCAATTTAATAGCCTTCTAGTGACTTCAAACATCTTCCCCTTGGTGTTCAATAATAAGCAAGAACCCAGCGTCAGACTAATTCATTCTCTCTATCTCAAAATCTATTTTGACATTATGAAGTATGAATTTAGAAAAAAAGCATAAATATTTTATAATAAAACCGTATTAATAAAATTTGATAAATGGATGTTGTCGATTAAGTGATTATAATGCCTGTTTCGTATTACACAGAACATTGTAACATAATCAATCGTAAAACGTACTGTGTGGCTATTAATAATATAAAATTCAGACTCAAATCTTGTGAAAGTTCGCTCTCATGATTCAAATCATAAGATTTTTAAAGCAAATAAAATCTAAAATGAATTTAAAAAAAAAATGAAATTTCTCAATAAAACAAGCTGATCATATAATTTCTGTTTTCATATTGTAAGTTGGATTAGTCGTTTAAATTGATATTGATATTCAATAATATTTGACAATGATATCTTTTGCATCAGGTATGTTTCACCAATGTAGATTCTATGGGTAATATTTTATGGCATTCTCTCATTACTTATTAATGCAAAAATTTGAATTCCCCTATTCCCTCATATCATAAAAAACATGTTTTTTTTTGGTAATGACAAGACAGTTGGCAATAAAATCATCACTCAAAAGTACCAGCTTATGAAATTTTAAGTAGTTTTCTTACAATGACGCACTACAAGTCCAAAGATCAATTGGAAAGCGCAAGTGTGAACATGATTAAAATGTATCGCAAATAACAAAGATATCAAGAGAATTCTTATCTATAAAATAGAGTACCCAGGTCATTGTGGGGTTAACATAACTTTTGATCAAGGCGTCTTTAAAAACAGAAGATTTTCAGTACAAGTATACACAAATAGATTGTTACAAGTTTTGAATTTTCGGCGGTGTGTTCACCTAATTTACATCAAGTTGTTTAAAGGGACTGACACCTATGGGCAGGGGTATATTCACTTGGCTAACAAAGACAGTCCCTGAATTCGTAATAGAACTAAAATAAGGAAAATCTGAATACGATTATGGCCTAACCCTAACCTGGTACACACACTAAGGAAGTACTGAATTTTCTTCATTTTTATTGGAAAAGTTGAAACTTTTTTTGTGTATTCTGGGAATTTTGTGTGACCCAATATGTTACTCAAGCTATTAAAATATGACACACAATGAAAGGACATCAATGTGACCTACCTTTCCGTTATGTGTGTCAGATAACCAGTTACGTAATTGAATGAGTTTACTTTCTTCCAATGGTCTTAAAATCCCCAATTTCCTCTCAATGTATTCTTCCTCGAGTTTGTCTGCAGAGCAAATCAAATGACTCATTTATGAGGAGATTATTGCGGACGAATTTTATAATTCGCCTAACAATTTGAAAAGGGAAATTTTAAATTTAGGTAAAAGTTAGAAAAACTTGGAAAAAATATCAGTCTATACAATTATATTGAAAAATTGTTGACATTATCCAAATTCAATAAACGACTCGAAAAAAGTATTCCTATACCGTTTTTCATTTTTTTTCAATTTGAGAAATATGAGTGTACGGCACAGCAATCCCCTGCTTAGAATAGTGGTAGTTATTCTTAAACTATTCTGTAATATATATATATGGAAGTCATAATTTTAGTCGGTAAATATTTATTAAAAAATATGAGAGTTTACGTCGACTGGTTAATACATACGGTAATAATAGTAGAGAGTAAATCTATAGAGTAAAATAAACTATACTGAGCATTCAAAAAATATAAAGTTTTTCCAAAATCAATAACAACATAATAAATTATTACTTACCGTCAGCAGCTCCACCAGCTGTTCTTTCACTACATACTGTAAATTCAGCATCTCCACTTGATGATGAAGTACGACTGAGATTATTAGCAGACAACTATTGAAAAAAAAATGAGGTCAGAATGTCCATTAAATAGATAAAGAGATTTGAATAAATTACAGTTATGTTATATGGAAAAAATTCTCATGCATTTAAAGTGGTCATTTTGATGAAGTATTATATACATTTTTAATGAACAATACGTTCTCCATTCGATAATTTATACTTTGAATAATTAATATATGGAACTGCTTAAAAATTTTGATAGTTTTTATGCAAAATATCGGAAAACGAGTAAAAATTACAAATTTCTTAAAGAATAATTGTATGAATTTCTAAAATATACTCGTTTCTAAAGAATTTAAAGTACCGGTATTTAAGATAAATTTACAATCGTTTGAAAATTTTTTTTACAAATCATCGAACTCCATTTTCGCGGTCTAATTTCCGAATTGTGCTAAAAATGAACAGATCATACTTGAGCTCCTTGTTCGGATTTAGTAAATCCAGTACATTGTGGAGTTTGTTCTTCTGGGGGCGGAAGACGAGCAAGATGAGGATTCTTTTCAGCCCACGTTGGTATATGCGTAGTACCAGAAGTAATAATTTCGTTTAAGTAAAACTCGATGATTTCTTTACCCTGTAATTTCAAATGTGTATCGTTAAGATAATATTTGGCAATAAATTTTAACTCAATGAAATCAAAGGACACTAATTCTGAGTTCTATCTCTGCTGTATTACGAAAAATATAATATGCTCGTATAAACATTATTTATATACATCCAGATATTTGTACACAATTAACGGAAACAGTAAATATAGAACATTTGAACATAATACAAGCTTAAATTTTTTTCAAACTAACTTGCTGACTGCATTGTTAATCAGTAAAGTGGAAATAATAAGCAACAAAACAGCAATCATAACAGAGAACTAATTCTATAAACATCTGAACAGAAACGGCAAAATTTAAAAAATAATTAAATTTTAGACTTTTTATTCAATGTTTAAAATGCCTTTTACTCTGAACAAGGGTCCACAGCTAGAACCAGTTCGACATCGCCTACCCCAGCGGTTCCCAGAGGGTGTCACTGTCCCCCAAAAATTACCAGAATTGTGTTAAACATAACTATTATATGATCGAATATTTTACATTTTGTATTTATTATAAATGTTTTATTGTTTCTTATTTTGAATGCTGTGTATATGAATCAATAAATCCATTTTACTTTTTTATGTCAATTACTTTTCGTTACGTAGTGTCTGCCTTTATTGTTACGTAACTATTACGTGTAAGTAGACACTACTTACTGCAATTTCGCGAGCTGCATTTTGTTTATTTTCCAAACCGAATTTAGCGAACAAATGTGATTATTTTCCTATTTCAAAGGAAAATCAGGCAGAATTGAGTGAAAATAGTTGACCTTTTGTCAATTTTTCTTAAGACTACATGTTTACAAACTTTAAGTGATATAAAGTACACATTAACGATCACAAAATTGAGTTTAATTTGAGGACAGCAATTTTTTTCCATGTAAGTGCGTAATGATTTTTTTTCCCCTAATAATTTGGCGATGCAGGAACAAAAAGTTTGGGAACCGCTGGTCTACAATTTACACCCTTGATGAGCTGGTGGCATGAGATCCAAAATGAAATTTGATCACAAGCCTAGAATGAATTATTAGGATCAGGTTACATTAGTAAGGCTACTATCTGGCAAAGCAATGCTTTTACGGAGCAATAGAGTCGTGCTATGGCAGCGACGGCACGTCATTTTACGTGCCTCAGTGAACTGAGTAAATAGGAACACCTAAAAGATGGTCATCGCAGGTTCCTTAGAAACTAAATTAGTAAATAAATGGGGTATGGTGAAAGTCCATGTAAAAGAGACCATCAAAGTTAGACCATATTTTAACATTATTTTTATGTTATGGCCAATCCCATGAGAAATGAAATAGTGTCAATATAATATAGGCAGGGTAAAAGTGAAATACCTTTTTAATGTTTGAGGTATATTGCTTCATAGCAATTTTTTCTACACTTGATTCAAACCCCCAAAAAGATCTAATTTCCATTTCTGCAGTTTGTTCAAAACACGTCCAATTTGGATTCTCTGGATGAACCTAAAAATGATGAAAATAAACTTATGTGATTTGGTATAACACACACATATTCTAGAATTTGACACTTTGAATAGGTCCATTATGCATTATTAAAATCATAGTCTAGGCCAAAATTTTATTTTAAAAGGTTCACTAAACGTTTACCGTATATCATAAATATGCCCATCAATAAAAATGAAAAAATGGCATGACTGTTAAATTTGAATTTATGGATTCAATTTACAAATAGTTGAAATTTATATAATAAATAAGGTTTCTACTGTGAATACTGTTCACACAAAAAAAATTTAATATAAATAAAAAAAAAATAAATCATTTTAAATAGAAATAATCTAAATTTTGATCGAACTAATTTCTTGACAGATATAACACATAAAAAAATTGAAAAAAAACAACTCTAAACAATATTTCAAAAATCTTACAGTGTACTGGCAAGTTTCCTTGATGATAACTCTACTTGAAAATGTTTCATTGTAGGCAGTAATCCTCAATTTTCTTTCCCTCCAATCAATGGCATTCTTCTGTACAAAGTACACATAATCCACTCCAACCATCTGTTTAATAATTAAAAGAAATTATTGAGTTTTGCTCTAGTAATCTGTAAAGCTTGGAAACTATAATGATATAATATTGGGTTATGCGACTTGTATTCTTGTTATGTAATGCTGCATTAATCAATGTTTCAACACCGTATTAACAGATAAGACTTACATTAATATATACTGGAATACATTTGCTAGTATGTTATATAAGAAATCAAGCATTTATATTTAGAAATACTGTATGATCATTTCATATATGGCGTCCCAAAAGTGTGTGTACCAATATGGAAGTAACTTAATTTTGTTCGCCTATTTTACATTAAGTCACTAACACAGACAATCCCCGAACCAATACCAAAACTTAAACAAGGAAAATCGGAGAAAAATTATGACCTAACCCTAACCTGGTACACACTACGGCAGTACCCAAAATATTGCTTTGAAAATTCTGACATTCAAAATTCCAATTATAAGCGAAATCAAAACCTATAAGGCTATAATATAATATCCATTTTTAAACCATAAGCTTTTATCTTATTATTTCACATAATAAAATTTATATTTTTATCATACATAATGGGTTAATTTTTCTCCTTTCAAAATAATATTAAATTATAAAGAATAAAGAGCTTCAAATTGTCATCTGTATCACACAGCTCAAAAAACTGTTTTTATATATTTTAATCCAAAATTGTGTGTAGACTTGTCTTCAAAAGTGACATTAACTAAAGTACTTAGTTATTTGATTTGTACATGGACATGTAAAAGCTGTGTTTCAGGACGAAATACACACATTGGAATCAAATTAAGATTACTCCGATCATATAACAGCGAAAATCAGTTTGAAAATTATTAGTAAGAAAAGGATAATATGACATGGCATAATATAAATCATTTATTTCATCATGCTGATTTATAAAACCCTATAATTCAATTCAGTAAGTGTATTATTTGGTTTAAAAATTTAATTTGATTCCTAAATAGTTTATCAATATTTGTATGAACAAAGGCTGGAATGGTCAACTCAATCTTGCTTTCCAAACATAAAATAAACTTTACAATGAAGTTATCCGGGTGTCTTAATGTGTTCATTATACAATGTAGCCATTCAACAGATAGAATTCAATACAATGCCTTTGGGCAAATTGTGATGACAATGTCCACTTTGGTAAAGTATGAATTACCTCATTAAACTTTTTTCATTTCCTGCTTTAAGCAAGAATAAAACATTTGAATTTAGTTTCCATATAATCTAAGTGGATATAGCTAAAGTTTGAAAATTTCAAATATAATATAAAGTAAAATAATGGTATTTTCAATTGAGTGTATTTGGAATAGAGAAACTTAAAAAACAGTTCAATAACCTGAATTCATTATGTAACAATATGTCACGACAAAATTGTAAATGGCAATACTATATTCAATGTACTATATTCATGATATTCAGATTAATTCTATTGATTTCATAGATTTTGGATAACAACATATCCCTAGTACCCTTGAAATACAAATTTCAACTGATCAATATTTTTATTAACATGAAACCTCACAAACGACTCTATAAAAGATTTAAATATTGCATGGCAGTCATAGTCATTTGATTTCATTTTTAAAAATGTTTTTTAGACTTAGTTCTATTATATATACACTGGCCATCTGCATAACTTGAACTCAAAATGATCACAATCGAAAACAGTGATGAAACATCGGCATATCCCAAACATCAAAGTTTTTATATTTCCACTGCATCCTCAGCTGAGGAAGACTGACCTTGGTCAAACGAAACGTTTCGAAAATAGATTTGTGTTAGTGACCCAGTGTGCAGCAAGAATCCTGAATCACTTGGTATATTTTCCAAGTTTAAAAATCTATATGATATAGGATAGATAATGTTGTTCAGAAAAATAAACCCCTGAAAACATAATTATTGATTACCCTTTTTAAAAGTCGCGGAGCATCAACATTCAATTTACATCTTCTTTCTACCGTATGCTTAGATTCATCTTCACTTTTTTCATCGCTCAAAATATCGCAACCAACAAAGACTGGAATCATCTTGCATGTTGGAAATCTTTTCTGGTATGCCTATGATTCAAAATAATTGAAATCCTATAAATTTATAAGATAAAACGGGTCTCATGTAGTTTCTTACCTAACATACTTCTAGTGGGCGTAGCATGAAATTTTTTTCACGTATCAATCCTAACCCCCACCTGACTACACCATCCAAAAATTACGTCATTACGACGTCACAGTGACGTAATAGAGCCCTTCAAACTATACGAACTGCCATCCAAGACGCACTCGTCGCAACGATTCCAATAGGAGAGAGACCGATAACGTCAGTCAGTTTTTTATCGTCGGCGCCGTTTCGGTCGATCGTGCGTATATTTGGCAAGCTCTATGCCGTGATTGCAATGTCGTAGTGATTTAATTTTTGGATGGCGTAATCAGATGGGGGTTAGGATTGACATATCAAAAAATTGTTATGCTACGCCCACTAGAAGTACGCTAGGTACGAAACTACGCGAGACCCGATATAACTAGGTTGGTTAAAAAACAATTTCAAAACATTGAAAAATGTTTAACACACATAGTAATTATTGGTAGAAAATTTTGACACCTTATTCAATACAAGAATTGAAATAAATAAAACAGTCATATATCTGAGAATGAACAGTAACAATGATGAAAATAATTGGAAGATTACGTGGGTGATGTTATATTAGCTTTTAAAAATTATTCCATAAAAAAATTTATTTTGATTAATATAAATTTATAAATATTCGAATTGTTCCACAAAATTATTTGAGGTAAAATGATAACAATTAGTAGTACATAACAAAAATGAATAATAATATAAAAAATAATGACCAAAATGATACTTACAGCCATCACCATTTCGAATGGATGTTTATATATCCGCACTGGTGATTGGTATTTCTGCACCATCTTGCTTGGTGTTTTAGAACCGCTGACAGAACAGAACTGACAGAACTTGAAATTTAAATCAAATGGTTAAATGCTCGAATAACACTTTTCGTTATAGTAAGAATAAAAATTTATTTGGCTGAAAAAACAGAAACACAATTAGTTGTGACTGCAGGATATATATATATGGTGTCCATAAATCCTTAAAATTGTTTTGGCCTTCACAGATGTTATAATTTAAATATCTTTATAATAATTTAACTTCTGTAATTTAGTGTAAAACATATGATACCATATCAATGTCTAAAAATACCTACACTGTGCCTCTAGCTCTACTCTGGTATTATATTGAGGTAAAATGCAAAAATACACGGACATGCAGCAGTAAAACAAAACTGCGACGAGCCGGTAGCAACCAGCGACTTGAAGCAATGACTAAAACACCAGGCACTGTTGCCGTGATGACGTGAAATCAGCTGATTCCAGATAAACCAGAGGTTTTATAAAAGCCTGACCGACCTTTGACACTTCCCTTTATGTTTACTTCGGGAGCGTTTTTGCGACTCGTTTATTAATAAGCGGTTGAGTTATTCAAACAATGGAAATTTTAACCTAATTAGAATTTAATATTTTATCTCAAAATATTTAAGTAATTTCGAACTGAATTCACTGATAATTAGTTTATTCCTCTTGTTAAAGTACCGATTTTTGAACATTGAAGATGAACTGGTAAGTCAAGTTATTTCGATTTTCCATAAATTTGCCAAAATTTGTCTCAAAATAACGATAATCTGAGTTATTCTATTTATACCTAGGTTACGAAAACATGATGTAAACTAACGAACGAGCCCCAAAATCACAGAAACAGGTTCATGTTTTAATTAATAGTAGATGCATGAAATCTATTTATGCAAAATAGTATCTAGGTATCGCGTTTTGCATTTTAGCATCACGTTCCAGTCAAGTTTTTATTATTACTTTATTATACATGTAGAAGTAATAAAGTTAGTAGTTATGGATTTCGAAATACGCCCCCCACTTACCGATATATTGTATAGGCCTACAAGTGGTATTCAAGAATCAAAAACAGTTTCCAAGTTCAAAGTTATGTGATCCTCTATCTATCTTCTTTTTGGGTATTTAAACCGTCTCGAACCGTCTCAAACGTAAGATTTTATTTATGAATTAATATGAGTTTTAACTTTTTTTATTGCTGAAGATTTGTGATTTCATGAATGTCAGTACACAAAACAAGAGAGCTACGCCCAAATATACGGACACGTCTGTTCGCAGTACAGTACGGTTTACCGTACCGTCTGTCAGCGTAAGGATAAAAATCGTAGCAAAGTACCGTAAGGACTTCGTTACGAACCATCGACGTTCGATGGCACGTGATCAAAAAGAAGAGGAGTGTCGGCTATGCGTCCGCAGAACGTTCGGTGACGTCATAGCAAACAAAAACAAATTTCACAGAGCTAACAGCAATATTTGAAATAAATAAAAGTAATAGCCTTCTGGAGAAAAATTTCATCTTTAACCAGTAAAAATTTCGAAGCAATCGGTCCAGTAATGAAAGAGAAATAGTTTTTAAAAAAATAATTTTTTTTAGATTTTCCACTAGATGTCCAAAAAGTGTCAAAGAACAACAACAACAAGACCAACATAATATTGTATTGAAACGATCGTTATGTCCACTACGTGTGCAATGATCCAGTTTCAATTTTCGGTCCGCGGTGTGAAAACGTTAGCAGCCGCGGATATAGTCGATATGTTTTAGCTTATGTGTTTTTTTCTTCAACGAGACCTAATTACTCCATGTCTACTAGAAAATGTGCACTTCGCAACATGACAATCCTTCACGCGTGGTTCCTGAACACTTTTCGCAAGGTCCTTTGACTCAACTCAAATTCACAAATGCTGGTCCAAAGCCAAATGTGTAATGATGCCAATAAACAATTTTCACTTCAGAAATCTTATTGCGTTTATTTTGCTGTTCTTCCATAGTTCTTCTGCACTATCTTCCGCAAAAATATCGGAAAATCGTACTCGTAACCCGCGGGCCGTATCCCCTGTATTAAGGTGTAGGACCAGCCATCGGCCATACAATCGCGCGTAGTGCGACCCGGCAGCATGCCACAGGCTCACACCAAATATTTATTCAAAAGTTTTTGATACATCGTTATATATGCTGAAAATTTGAGATACTTTACCTCCTACTCATGGTTTACGTCAAAATAACACACCAGTACAAGCACTGCAACAAAATCAATTATCTCAGAAAATGTCAGTGTGAGACATCATAAGGGGCGCTGTGGGTGCCGAGAAAGTTGGAATTTTAGGAGATGTTTTCTGTCAAAATCAAATCAAGGTTTTCGTTTTATTATTATGTATATAGGCCTACATATCGTGTATTCTGTGTTTTCTTTATTAGTATATATATATTCAAGAGTATCAAACACCGTGGAGTAGATGGCAAATTCAACAAGCACACGTCCTTCTTCATTATTTGTCCAGAATCAATATGAAACAATAAACTGATTTGACAACTAGTACACCATTCTAATTATCAATCTTAATTAGCCAAAACAAAAGAACAGCTACTAAAGACGAATACAGCAAATAACATTTAAAATGGCGCCGCTATTTAAACGTGGAAAACAATAGAGACAATGCTTTATGGTCAAAGTAGCATGCTGGAAAATTTTTTCTCTCAATATGTCCTTGCGCCAAAACACATACATTCGTACGTTCTTTAATAGCACATAAAAAAACGATAAGTAAAAGTAACAGCCTTCTAGAGAAACATGTAATCTTCACTTACTGAAAATTTCATAGCAATTGTTCCAGTAATCAAGGTGAAAGGCGATTGTTTTCAAAACGATACGAAGAAGACCAACAAGAACAAGATTACCAAAAATATGAAAACGATCCATAGGTCCACTCACGTGTCCAATGACACTTCATTTTTCTATTCTCGTATTCCAGCAATAATGCATTCATAATAAGTTTTGTTGAAATACTTTTTACCATTTTTTCAATCCTCGTCATTCCTTTTTATAAATTATCAAATAGAAAAAGGACACTCAAATTTTGATATGTAGCGTATCATTAGAGCATTTCACAAAAACTTTACGGTTTACCTTTTCGGCCACCATCGACTACATATCATCCTTGAGTGTCTCATACCATACAAACATTAAAAGGCACATTCACCCCCTACGCTTAATCTTTTATCTCCCCATATCTACTTTTATCTATAATTATCAGCTTGTCTCTCACGAGACAAATAAACAAACGTAGATAACAGTTTCACGTCTCAGTTTCTTGGTGCGTTATAATTAATCAATTGCGTGGAACTGAAATTAAAGTGGAGTAAAATAGCAATTTACGCGCAATCCCATACTTTCCAAAACCCGCATGTTTGTTCCATTCCATGACGGTTCCATTACTTTTGAACCCAAGTAATTGCACCTACATACTATTGCACCTATGGAAATTTGCACCTACGGATATTTGAACCCATACTAACCCCAACCCATGGATTTTAGCACCCGTATATAGATTGAACCCGCGAATATACGGGTGCAAATGTATGGGTTCAAATGTACGGTCACCCGCGATTCATTTGTACGGCTTGCAGGCAAGTCTGCGGGAACGAAATTAAAAACTTTTTAAATCAATCGGAATAACAGATGACTAGACAAGCGAATATAAGTGACGAATAAGCGAAGAGTTTGCGAATCTCCCGCGTATACGGATGGTTGGTCAAAGAGCGCTTATAATATTCACTCTTTTACACGCCGCATGCTTTACTTTTATTGTGTTATTGTCGAGTTGAGTGATAAAAGGGTTAACCTGTCACCTCGGGAGAGAGACTGGCGTGTCGATCAAAAGAGAAAAAAAGGCACAAGCGTCTCAATATATCAGTTGTGTAAATTGCATAGGTCAAGGCCGGCCAGGCAAATCACCGAAGCTCAGAAAGTTTACAAATACGCAATGGCAAGTCGTCGACAGTTTGGGTTATTTGATAGTCAAGAAGTGTTCTTTCATATTAGTAGTGAAGAATTCATATTGGACAGTGATTCTGAGAATGACAATTTGGATGCAACTGATGTTTCTGAGGAAGAAGATATATTTGGCCCGGCAACTGACGATGAAGAGGACTCAGAATGTAAGTATCATTTTTCTTATTCTAGTTTGCGTGTACCTTTACTCAACTGGTGAAAAATTTTCTGTGTGGCAATTGTATGTCGTGTATTATATGATAGTATATTATCGCAATGAGCATATATACAATGAGTGGAAACTTGCAAAGATTTGCTCATTGTGGCATTGTTCCCTGCATTTTTTACGTCGTCCAGCTATAGGGTTCGTTGCATATTAAGAAAACGCATTGCTCGTTGCCAAATTCCCTTGCTTCAGCCGAGTCGGGTGCGAAATTGGCCGTATTGAGGTCTTTAATTTTTCAATACATATTTGGTTTTGGGTTTCGAAGTATGGTACGCTGAAAGCATACAACTATGAGCATATGCTTATTGGGAATGCATATCTATTAGACAGAAAACGTATCTACAGAACAGAATATGAACCAGTCGCCGAGAGGAGTGCGGTTTTTTATGTTTTCATCAATTGATATAACATGGGATTTACATACCGGTATTTATCCAAGGGGAGAAGAAGGCCTAAATATATGGCGAACCACGGCCTCTCTCAATCATAGCTCTGTGCTCCATATGAATCACATGGCTCTGCGAGCTATTCGTTTACTTATTAAAAATACTGATTTTAACTATAAATTACTCTGGGATATCTCGCCATTGAAAACAAAAGCCAGAAATTGGAAGAATAGCAGGGAATGAAATGTGTGTATTATGTAATGGAGAACCTGAGTTTGTTTAACATATTTTCATGTATTGTAAATTTACAAAAAATATTTATGAAGATTTTGTTTTAGATATATTAAAATACATTTTGTTATCAATATGATTCTTGCATATTATTTAATTTTAACGATCCTTTATATAGTCATATAGATACTGTTGATTTGGATGCAATTATACTTTTGTAATCAATAGTGAGATATAAAATTTTGACCATGAGAAATTCTATTATATTCGAAAATAAAACACCACATTTTGCCTTTATCAAAAAGCAGATAAAAATGGCCATAATATATAGAAAAATATAGAGAATTATAGAATAAACAACCCATTTGAGAGGGAATTGAAAAACTTATGTGAAGCATTATTTTAAAAAGAAAATTATATGTTTATGATATTTACTAATTTTGTTTTGATTGTTTTATATCAATGCATTTATTAAAATAACCTAATTATGTTATGGATTACTACTGGAATTGAACAAAATAAATACTGGATCATGGATTCAAAATGGAATATGAACTTATTTATATTATATACCGTATATTATTTTATATTCACCGTAATTAAAATCACTCATTGAGTGAACGAATGAGCATACTGTAATGCTTATTGGGAATACGGGAATACATACCATCTATTAGGCAGAAAACTTATCTACAGAGCATAATATGAACCAGCCAAGTGGGGACCTGGGATATTGTATTCATTGATATAGATAGAGATAGTTTATTTTAAAAAGTCCACAATCTGACAAACAAATAAAAAATGGAGAGTTCTGGAGAGCGAGCAAAACCTTTGAAAAAGTTCAAAACCCGATGAGTATCATGTGCCTGCTGTGTTATAGCAAGTAGTAATGTGTAATGAATTTAATTCACTGTGGTAAATGAATTGCTATCTTTTTATTTGTTATGAGCACACTTGCTGGAACTCCATAATCTATTATTTTATTTTTTAGTAACACTTTTTATAAAAATATCAAATTGTTTATCATACTTGCATCCATATTTCGCCCTAAATTCCATTCTATGACACTTTCTCTGTATCCCAATATCTATGTACATGACCACATTATTTATTTTTTAGTAATACTTCATTTAAAAGTATCCTAATGTTTATTATAATTGCTATTTCATTCCATGATACTTGCTCTGTATCCAAATATCTATATGTATATGAGCACTTTATTTATTTTTTAGTACCGGTAATACTTATTTAAAAATAACCTATTGGGTATCATTGCTATTTCAGTATATTATTAATATTTTGCCTTAAAATTCATTCTATGTTACGTGCTCTGTAGCCGAATATAGATATGTACATGAGAACTTTATTTCATATATATATCTGCTGGAGAAGGGTCAAATCCTGATCATGTATTATTGTGTGTTACTATCCTCCAAATCACTTGCCAGTCATAATCAAGTATTATAATTTGATGTGTTCAAATTATAGTGTATAAAGAAATCTACTCATGATTTCATTACTATTATCAAATGTTTATAATTAAAGTGCTATAATGATATAATTTTCCCCATCTTTGCTTATAAAAAATCCATGTCCTATTACATTCATTTTTAGTAGACATGTAACAAATTAACCAATAATTTGGATAATGGAAGTCAAATTCTATATAATAATTGACGTAATCGAAATATTGAAGAGATCTTTCTAGTCTTTCTCGTGTATGAGAAAATGGATATTTTCCCATGTCGGGTGACCCATAAACAACCGAAATATTGAAGAGATCTTTCTAGATCATTCGAAATATTGAGTCTAGATCTTTCTCGTGTATGAGAAAATGGATATTTCCCATGTCAGGTAACCTATAAACAAGTGTAATTATTGTAAGAAGGGTACCGAACATTCTAGATATGAGCAAAAATTGCTCCGTGGGAAACGAGATTTTTGGATAATAAAGAAAGGTACCGTTTTTGGCGAGCGAGATGAAAAAGATGTTACCGTTTAAATAGACATTTTGATCGTGGTTTGCCCGGCTTTTCTACTACAATTCGTTCGATACAGCAGCCCGGCTTTTCTATTTCAATTCGTTCGATACAGCAACCGGCTTTTCTATTTCAATTCGTTCGATACAGCAACCGGCTTTTCTATACAGCAACCGGCTTTTCTATTTCAATTTCGATGCAACAATGCTAATTCATCACCGACTTGGTTTTCACGATTGTGAGTGTGTTTTATTGTAAGTCAATTTATTGTGATATATTATCTGTGGAAATAAAAATCTTTACAGGCAAATGGGTCAGATCCTTACTGTTATATAAAATTAACAGATATCTCAAATTGAACACGTAACCTACTATATATTCTGTTTTTGGAGTCAGATACTTATCTAATTCGCTCAATTAGAAAGCAAAGTCAGCAGAAGTTACATATATATAAAATTATATATATAAATTAACAGATATCTCAATTGAACACGTAACCTACTATATATTCTGTTTTGGAGTCAGATACTTATCTAATTCGCTTAATAAGAAAGCAAAGACAGCAGAAGTTACATTGGTGACCCCGAACGTCGGGATTATTATGGATCGTCAACAATCGTAAGTCATTTTATTCTATTAACTATTCTGTGTGATTTATCAACTGTTTGACCTGGTTTGTAATATCTTCTTACAATATTGTACCTGGTTTTACTTAAGTGTGTTTAAGGTTGTATGGTATATTGATTATTCGGTAAATAAATGTCCAAATTACAAAAAATGTTTACGCGAAGCAAAGCTCGTAAATCAGAACAATCAGGTGTAAATCCATATCAATTAACACATATTACGCCTGAAATACCAAAACGCCGAGATATTGAAGACGAAACAGAATTTGGACTTGAAAATTTGAATATTCCTGAATCAAATTTAATTGAACGTGAAGATGACAATTGTAATTGGCAAAGTTCGTCCCCAAGGGAAACAAAACCTGTTGTTGATATGGAGCTTACGCAGTGCGAGGATTTGGGAGGTGATTCTGGACAGAGAATAACTTTTCAATTGCCGTCGGTTAGGAAATTTAATGACACAAACAACCCATTTTTGACCAATAAAGATAGAGTAGAAGATTCCGGACCGAATTACGGCATAAATTCCAGAATCTCTCAGATAACTGAACCTAGAACAATATTGTATGAAAAGCATAGAATTCCCACGAGACCACTTTGGGAAAATTCGGTGAAAAATTGGATCTTTTTAACGGAAAACGAATTCGCTGAAAATCAAATAGTCAGCGATTCGCAAAAGAAAAACTATATACTAAGGTGTTTAAATTCTCCACAACTGGATCTTGTCAGGGCAAGGATGCCGCTCGATGAACATAATAATAATTATGAAAAACTGAAACAAATTTTGTTGGACATTTTTGCACCGGATTCTCGAGAAAAATTACAGAAAATATTTTCTGGGCAATTACAAAATGAAAGGCCAGATATTATTCTTAAATATTTGAAAGATTCCTTTATTGGGGGACATAGAAACAGTATAGAAGTTCAAAATCTAATAAAGAAAGTGTTTGTAGCATTGTTACCAGCTTACATAGCCAACGTCTTATACTCAGATATAGCAAAATATTCATGCGAGAAATTGCTGGCTCGCGCGATGCAAATTTATGATTCCTCAGATAATAATTCGAACCATGTTACAAGTTCCTATCAAAAAGACAATTCTGGACAAAATAAACTGGAGCAATTAACAGATCTGGTAACGTCTCTGGCTAAAAATGTTGATAATTTGAATACCCAAATCAAAGCAATAAACAGCCCAAGATTCGAACCAAAATTTAACCCGGTTCATCGATATAATGCCCCTCCGCAGCATCAAGCGAGACAGTACAATTCTCAAGATAGGCGTCAATTTGAAACGAGGAAGTTTGCTAGAGGTTATCCTAGGAATACTTTCAATTCGAACAATTATAACTGGAGACGGAATTGTGATGTAAATTTCTGCTATTTCCATAATAAATTTGGAGAAAACGCAGTCAAATGTAATGCCCCTTGCAGCTTTCCTAGAAAGAAGAATTTTTTAGCCGAAGGGTAGACTTTTCTGGTTTCAACAGCCCGGAAGGTCTACCCTCTCGTAAAACAAATGCTGTACATAAATTTAAGAATTGTGAAAATTTAAATAAAAATAATTTACCGTCTCTGTCAAGCAACAATAAATTATTTTTTGTATATGATTCCCTTTCTAAAAATCGACTTTTAGTTGATACTGGATCAACTTATAGTATTTTAAATGCCAAAAAGTCACATCAATTTAAAACCATAAAAAATCTTTCCGAAGATAAT